ATTTCAATACATTAATCTTACATTCGACACTTTATCATTGATGAGGGTGAAAGGGAGCAGAACAGAAGCGGTGATGAGGGTGAAAGGGAGGAGACAAGAAGCGGTGATGAGGGTGAAAGGGAGAGAACAGAAGCGGTGATGAAGGTGAAAGGGAGAGCAGAAGTGGTTGATGAGGGTGAAAGGAGAAACAGAATCGGTGATGAGGGTGAAAGGGAGAGCAGAAGTGGTTGATGAGGGTGAAAGGGAGAGCAGAAGCGGTGATGAGGGTGAAAGGGAGCAGAACAGAAGCGGTGATGAGGGTGAAAGGGAGGAGAACAGAAGCGGTTGATGAAGGTTCCAGAATGATAACTTTCAGTGGCTGGTCCTTTCACGGTGACGCGTGGTTGAGATGGCTTAAATTGACATAACTTCTGGTCTTTCGTCAATACCCTGCGTACAAGATACAAATTAAAGCATAATTTGCATTTTCAGAAGATACCTTAATATGCATGAGATAACTTACATGATATACAGAATTAGTCCGAACTTTCTTGCAACTCTCCTGCTTGTGTCTTGATGTCGGAATGTGTTATTAGTTGTGTAAAAAGGTTCAGAAACTGTACCCAGTTACATGATTGCATTCTTAGTGGTTAGGGTTTCTCTTCTATGTGATGAAGTAGACTCTTCTTTAAATATTATTTTTTGTGTAATATTACTTGTACGTTTCACTGGATTTTTATGTAATTTCTGATGAGTAAAATATGAAGGTAAGACTCCTCCCAGTGGTATGCCATAGAGAACAGTAAGCAGTATATGCATACTATTTATATTGAAGTAAATACTATACATTTTATGATGTATTTTAAACTACTTAAAGCTATTAAAAGTAATCACTACTTCTACACACCCACAACAATCTCATTAAACAATATTCCGTTTCTTCCACTTTTAGGAGCTGATCTCCCCCTGTGGCTGTGATGAAGTAGTGTCGCCAGCTCGGCCAAGATGAGATCAGGTCGGGTAGAGGGTGAGGCAGGCGTGAAACTCATGGTGAAGAGCCACTACTGAACACCCGCCACGCTCGTCAACCTCAGCCACAGGTAAACCTTCACTCCTCACCTAGGTTAAGTTAAATTCAAATTGAGTTAAGTTACTGATCTCTGACGGCGCATTTACCAGTTATGTTTTGTTACTGATGTCTGAGGAAAACTTTATCTTGCATAGAAGCATTTTATGGCAATAGCTGATGTTCGGTGGATGTGGAATCCTGTGTACCGCCGGCAAGGCCGTGGGCTCGTAACACTCGTCTTGTCCGCGGTGCCCACCGTTTCTCTGCAGATGTCGGTCACACTAGAATCTAATATACTATAGGACTAGTCGTGTGTCTGTCTGTCTGGTTGTCTGTCTGTCTGTTTGTCTGTCTGTCTGTGTGTCTGTGTGTCTGTCTGTCTGTCTGTCTATCTGTCTATCTGTTCTGGGCAGCCGAAACGGCACAATGTTTTTTCATCAAACTTGGTGGAAAAATCGCAAAAAATTCGTAGAGTGGAACAAACCTGGTCCCATGTCGATGGTTTCTTTAGGAAGGCATTAATTAACCATTTTAATTAAGATGGCAAAACATGTCGCTGTACGCTGTCAGCCGGATGATTGCAGTTATCATTCGTCTCCCTCCTCTCTCCTCTTTCAATTAGCCTCTTTTTTTTTTTTCATGTTGTTTGGATTAGTAAAGGAAGGAAGATGAGTAAATGAAGAAGAATAAAGAAACAGAAAATAGTTAGAGATAACAGGTGGGGGGCTGAGTTTCATCATGTGTTGGATGCGCAGTTTCAACGTTACAGAGCATTTTCGGACCTTACAAGGCTACAGTGTATACTTATTTCTGTGGCTCAATGTACATGGAAAGGAGAAGAGATAAAGATAATAACAGGAATGCATGGAGAAGATAGAAAGGGAGAAAGAAGAGAGACTGAAGAATTATTATCCTTAAGAGGCGAGTGAGGAAAGGAGATGGGAGAGAGGGATAGTGAGAGGTGGAGGTATGAATGGAGGGATGTGTTTTTAAAGTTCCCAGAATACCATATTAAAATCACCTATTTAATAAGGAAGAAAAAGTGCTAAATATGATGAGTAGTGTAATGGAGAGACATAGAGATATATAAATAAAGATAGAGATAGTACGGATAAAAATGGAGAGAGAGACGGACAAACAAAAGACATAATACAGACAGATTCAAGGACACACAGAAAGACAGACAGATAGACAGACTTATGAAAGACAAAGACAAGACACATACATACAGACAGACAGACATGACTACAATAGACACAGGGCGAATATAGACAGTGAAACAGACAGGAGGTTAACAAAAATAGACAGATTCATACATGCACAAATAGACAATATGGCAACTAACATGACAGACAGACAGCTGACTGACTGGTTCACATTAGACAAACAGACAGACACACGCCAACAACGGATAATACAGACAGATTTGACGACACAAAGAGTACAGACGGGCTTACATTCAAACACCACGCAGACGAACAGACAGTTGGGATGGCAAAGCAGGACGGATAGACTTGAGACGAATTAGAAGGCATTTATAAACAAGAATAACACCAAATTGACCATATCTGCGTCAGTGAGGGTAGCTGGTCTTACATCCACCAGCGTAAATAATAAGACGCATTGAAAACTAACACCCTCGTGCGGAAAGAACATCGATCGTCGATCAGTCATATGAGATGGGCCTAAAACTGACTAACGTAGATGATGACTATGATGACTTAACACAGGTGATGACGTAAGCAGATGGTGACTAATCTAACCAGAATCAAGGTCACTTCTCTTCATAATACATGTATAATTTATCTCGGAATGTTCATCGGTGATTCATAATATTTTTTGTTTTTATGATTTTAACCTCACTTTATGGCGAATATTTATTTAACTAATTATTCTAACCTTTATTCTATTCCTTCCTATAGTATACTAGATACTTACAGTACCTAATAACCACGACCATGATTATAACAACCAGGACCATGATTATAACAACCACGACCATGATTATAACAACCACGACCATCATTATAACAACCACGACTATGATTATAACAATCACGACCTGCTATAGTACATCATTCTTTCCTCACACAGCCAAACTGTGGAATGCTCTGCCTTCTTCTGTGTTTCCATACTTATACAATCTGTCTCACTCCAAAAAGCTGGTTTTCCGGTATCTTCGTGATATATATATATATATATATATATATATATATATATATATATATATATATATATATATATATATATATATATGTATATATATATATATATATATATATATATATATATTTATATATATATATATATATATATATGCATGTAAATCACTGTAGGTGCAAGCGATCACAGTGGTGTGCTGAAACACGAAGCGCTTTGGGAATTCGTGTTTTCTTCTTGTATATTATATATATATATATATATATATATATATATATATATATATATATATATATATATATATATATATATATATATATATATATTTTTTTTATATATATATATATATATATATATATATATATATATATATATATATATATATATATATATATATATATATATATATATATATAATTTTTTTATTTATTTATTTTTTACTCATATTTTTTCGCCCCCCAGGCCATGTTGTGGGTCGATGACCTGTGCCCGGGTGGGCTATTCTCCGTAAAAAAAATACAAATTTGCCTACAATTACTGTCTTTGCACGAAGTCTCTCCCATATGCCCTTATCATCAATCCCCTTCCATAATGACAACCACATATTCTACGCTATAATCATCACCCTCACACAACAGCCTTCATCATGGTCCTCTATAATAAGGTACATCTCATGTAGGGGCGATACATGTCGGAACGCGCCACAGCATTCCACCAGCCTGTGTGGTGGAATGGTCCGCGATGCAATTTTATTAATAATGTGCGAAAATTAAGTCAGGTAAGCGGTCGACACAATGGAGCCTCCCAGTTTTTACGATTAATTTTTTCACAAGCGAAATCGAATAAATTATGGTAAATAACATAAGAGCATAAGAAAATAAGGAGTCTGCAATAGGCTGGTTGGCCTATGCATGGCAGCTCCTGTCGAGAGTTACTACCACTCTCTATCATCCATGAGTCTATCTAGCCTCCTCTAAAAGCTCTCCAGCGTTCCAGCACTTACTACAAAGTTGCAAAGCTTGTTCCAATCATCCACCACCCTATTTGTGAACCAGTTCCTTCCTATCTCCCTCCTAAACCTAAACTTATCCAACTTATATCCGTTGCTACGAATCCTCTCCTGCTCGGATATTATACGAACTTTATCTATATCGCCTTTATTGATTCCTTTCACCCACTTAAATACTTCTATGATATCTCCCCGCAATCTTCGTCTTTCTAGGGAATGCAAGTTTAGTTTCTTTAACCTATCTTGATATGGAAGGTTTCTAAGTCCCGGAATCATTTTCGTCATTCTTCGCTGCACCGACTCTAGTGAATTGGTAACCATTTTATAATAAGTGCACCGGAACTGAACCGCATAATCGAGGTGCGGCCTGACTAACGCAAGATATAGTTGCAATAAGACCTCTGCACTCCTATTACTTACACTTCTAGATATAAAACCTGATACTCTGTTTGCCTTATTTCGAACATTAACACACTGTTTTCTAGGCCGTAGGTCCGGGTTTACAAGTACCCCTAAGCCTCTTTCACAAGTCGACCTTTCTAGGTTGATATTGTTAAGGCTGTTGTATAGGTTGACAGTATTTGTTCTACCAATATTAAGTACGCTGCACTTGCTGGTGTTGAATTTCATTTGCCATTTCTCTGACCACTCCTGCAGTTTATTTAAATTCTCCTGTAGTGCATTTGCATCCTGCCCTGAATTAATCTGCCGCCCTATTTTTGTGTCATCCGCAAACTTGCTTATGTTACTGCTGATCCCAGTATCTAGATCGTTTATATAGATTATGAACAAGAGTGGGTCCAGTACTGACCCCTGGGGAACCCCACTGGTTACACAGCCCCACTCAGATTTAGCACCATCTACGCTGACCCTCTGTGTTCTATCGGTGAGCCACGATTTTCTCCAATTTGAACCTTTCCCCTCGATACCATGAGCCTTAACTTTTCTCAGAAACCTCTGATGTGGGACTCTGTCAAACGCTTTGCTAAAGTCTAAATAAATAACATCGTAATTATCGTCATTATCTACTACCTCGAAGACTTTCCTTAAAAACGTCAGCACATAATAATAATAATAATAATAATAATAATAATAATAATAATAATAATAATAATAATAAGGAACCATAAAGAAATAAAAAATGTATGTTGTGTGCAAATGAGGCACATGCCATATGGCAGCAGGGTCTACCATTAGACTTGTAACTTGTATCTTTTTACCTTGATCTTAAAAATGTTTTATTATACGGATGAACATAGTGGCAGCATTCATGCTCTTAATATTTATTTTAAGTCGGCAAGTACACTTGGGTAGTCGGGGCAGTTTTCGTTGTCGACGATTCGCCTTTTTCTGTCGGCGACGAGCCTCATTACGGCTTCTTTCACCGTTTGCCGGCTATAACGGAATCCATGCAACTCTCCATCAAACAGACGAAGGAGTACAGATCGGTGGCGGGGCTGCAGGTTCCTCCCCGGAATACGAGGGGGCACATCCAAGGTCATGTCGTCTCACCCTCGGGGTTCACGGACAAGTGACAGCCAAAGATGTCACCCAGACCTAGGTCTATGATATTTATTTTATTTCCATTACCCATATTTTGTATTAAGATGTTATCGAGTTTAAGATCATTATGTATAACTTTTTTTCATTAAGTTTTTGTAGTTCGCAAGCGACGGAGGAGAGAATATTATATAATGCCCTGGTATCCGATGGGTTTTGTGAAATATACTCGCCAAGGTTTTGGTGCCCGACGAAGGACATTAAGAGAGCGAGCGGCTTCCTACACATTCCGATAAGGTCTGGGGTACCGCCTGCTCCGCCAGCAATCATATGTAACATTGCCTCCGGTTCATAATTGC